GAACCTCAAATCGGCAAGACTCTCATGAATATTTAGCTGTAATTCCTCTAAATCATAAATATAATATATAATTAAAAATTCGACAAATACATGAATTTTGAAAAAAATTGAAATTTTGATAAATGTCTAATGATTTTTTGAGAAAAAATTTAATGAAATATATAGCAAAAATGGTGCAAATATAGCAAATAATGCCGAATTATATAGTAAAAATTGATTGACAATTTAAATTATATGCCAAATTATATAGTAGAAATTGATTGACGATTTATTTATATCGAATTATATATTGAATTATATGGCAGAAATTGATTGATGATTTATTTATGTCATTAATATGCCAAATTATTTGTTTTTTTGACAAATGTTACACAAGTGACATTATGCCAAATAAATATTTTTCGACTAGTGTGAGTTAGTCACTTTGTGAAAGTCGGTAAACTTTGTGATATTTTTCAATACCTCAATAAAGATATGCCATTGCAACATGATTGTGGATTAAAAAAAAAAAATAAAATAAATAAATAAAAGATATAAATAAATTTAATTTTTAAATTAAATTGAAATTTCAAATTTTATATTTTAAATCAATTATAACTAAAAATTGTGATTGGTTTAATTTATTTCAATTCATATTTTTTAGTACTTTATATTAATTTAATAATAATTTTAAAAATCAAATTCCTTTATATTATTGAATAATTTTAATATTAATTTTATTAATTTTATAATATTATATCCGATACCTCAATTATATTACAAATTTAAAATTCAATATACTGTATTTAAAATTTATTAAAATTGCTAATTGATCTTTATTAAAAGGTGATTAATAAAATCGAAAATTATAAATGAACTTAAATAATTACAAAAACTATTGATTCTAAATGTAATTTTTGCAAACTGTCTGTTTCAAATCAATTTGAATTTAAAAAATGACTAATGCGAAAATATCTACTGACGAATGTTCATACTGACGTGAAGATGTTTATTCACAAGCAAACTAGAGAATGGGGCATATTATACACAAAGATGATAACTGCAGGATGTTGTTTATCTTTACCAGAAATAATCTTAAAGATACATTAAAATAATTTTGAGTTGCAAAAGCAACATATATAATAAAATCACCGAGTTCATAAAAAATAGATTAAACTTTGCATATTGACAAAGCCGATCAAAAATTTATTTTCGATCACCATTTTTTTTCTGATGCACCGGCATCTGAGAAAGTTGCTGCAAAGCAACCGGTTCAATGCCTTTGGTGATACAGGCTGCTCGATATGCGACAGGAACCTCTTTTTTCATATTATCTTTCATTGTCCTGTCTCTTATTTTGGCCAAATCAAATTCTGGATCACCGATAAGTGCAACTTTACTTGCAGGAACCCATTTCCTGAGGGGAGAAATTGTGGTTAACGTTGAGATGCAAAATCTAATTTTATTACGTATCAATATTCAAAAAAAAAAAAAAAAAAAAAAATGAAAACACACCAACTACGTCTTTTTCCTTTCTTTTCATCGAAAAAATGAACTAAATAATAGTCACCCTTTTTCTTGTCGCATCTTATGGTTTCCGTAACTTCGGGCCCATTGGGGTCAGCCACCTGAAGACAAATTCTATTTAATAAAAATTAACCACCAACCACAACAGAAAAGCGAGTGTTGGGCTTCACACCTCAGCGGGATACCAGGGAAATCCAGTCATCTTGGCCCACACCAATGTTCCGTAGCGAATATCCGGATTCTCGATAACAGACGAAGTCGTGGAACCTTTTCGGCTTGACTGTACCCATTCTGCATTAGACTCTGTAGATGGTGACAAGTTTTCCTTTTTAATTGCTTCGTTCTGAATAGCCTCATCGCCCTTCTTTGGAGCACGGGAACGAGTGCGACTTGCTAATAATACAAATATTACATCCTATTACTTTTATGCGTCGCGCCTAACGTGAGACCGGCGGAGTAATAGGATGATTTCAAATACCTGCTGGCTTTTCTGTCTCATCCTGGTAATCTTTCATCGATATATTCCCAAATTGTTCTTTAATTGTCTTATTATTTTCGTCAGGAGAAGCCTGACTTTGTGGTTGTTCGTTCGTCAAATCTATATCATATTCATCTATCGTGTCAAGATTTTCTGTTGGTTCTTTGATAACTTTTGATTTTTTGTTGGACTTCTTTGCAGATTTATTGGGACGTTCGCCTGAATCCTTCGCTGTTTTCCGAGGGTAATCAGGTTGTTCCTTTACCACCTTAATCGATGGTCCAGCATTCCTATTTCGCGATCTTGTTCGAGAGGAAACCGTTGCTTTGTCCTCATTAAAAACGCTAGGAACCCCACCTTCACCTAGGCCACCAGTATCAATGGAGGTTGGTCCCTCGGAATTCGAACCTTCGTCAACGGATTCATCCTCGCCCTCCTCGTCGGTAACATATGCCCAACCTTTTGGTGCTCTCGGCTTGCGTTCTGGAGAATCTCGTGACTTCGAATTATTACTCTGATTTCTTGTACGTTTTGCTACAGTGGTGGATCGTGTCTCTCGAAGCCTACGAACACGCGAAGAAGCATTTCGACTCCTTAGCTTAATACGACTTGATCTGGACTTTTCTTTTTGCATAAAAACCAACGGCTTGGTATTGTAGGTAAATATCTCCGGATGAATCTGAACATCCAATATTCCCTTCTTTGGATCAACATGCAACTCAGAATAATCTTTCTCCGCTTTCTCAATAATAGGCTGACAAAGTTGACGCAACTTCCGGGCGGTCCTATAGTAAATCGTGTTGGATGTGTTGTAGGTCATGGCATTTAGGAAAGTTAATTCGAGATCATCCTAAAGAATAGTAAAAAGTTAGTCCCGGTTCCTTTTTTGATGACAAAATTTTTTTTAATATCAAAAAAAAAACCCCCTTTAATACCTTGAATCCTTGAAGACCTGGGCCAAAACTATATTCATGGGCTTCGATCTTCTTCTGAATGGTTCCAAAGTCCATAGGGTTTTTGATGTGATAATAGTAATCGGGAACTTCCTCAGCGGAAACAGGCTTCGCAAATATCTCATTTTTATCCAAACTGTAATAAAACGTACGATGCGTTTAGCGTCTCAAGTAAAATCGATGATCAACTATTATCAAATCGACTCATAAAATCAAAGAAATACCTCATGATTGTTCGTATAACTGGAGAAAGAATATAATCAAGAGGGAAAAGGATGGTCTCGAGATATCGAGCTTGTAACCTGTTCCTTTTCAGCTTCGCCTTCTCACGTCTATGCACACAGTCGATCAACAATCTGACCTTCTCCAAGTCTTTACGAAGTTGTCGCATTCCCTAATATGCAAATTAATATCAATCAATGTACTCATATAGGTTTTTTGAAAAAAAAAAAAAACTGCTTACCATAAATTTGCAGAATTTTTCCTTGTCGGATTGTTTGTGAGCGGATGCGGAGGCAGTCCATGGCTACGAAAAAAAAAATGAATCAAATGGTAAGGCAAAAATTCATATGCTCGATTCATTACACGAAATAGTGAAATCCACCTCGAGGTGAAGCCTCTTTAGCAACGGTGCTCCACGTCTAGACTCACGCTTCAATGACCAGTACTTGCAAATTGTGGCTACAAGTTCTTGTTTCTTCTTCATAGATCCTTTTTGATTTGCCAAAAGTGGCAAAAGCTTCTCCATTATGATGGCCGGGGCGATCGGAGCATTTTCCGCATATGAATGATTATATGCACGAGCTGCCTTAGAACTTTGTCCTTCTTGGGATTTATTAGCAATCTCGGTTACATTCTCGGACTCCTGTAGTTTGACCTTGACCGTTTTCTTTTGATACGACTCATTTTCCGAATGTTTGCGTTTCCTATTCTTCCGAAGATCCGATGTATCAAATTTCTCCTCCTCGTAATTCTGTTCTTCGAGTTCGTCCTCTTCCTCCTCAGAATCACTAGGAATGTATTCATCCCCGTCGGCCTCATATTCCACCCTGCGTTTCTTGGAAGCCGGACCACAGTCGCTCAGGAGCTTTTGTGCAGCTAAAACCGTAGCGGTAACGTCAACTTGCTCCTTGTAATCTCGCTAAATCATGATACAACATAATTGCAGGAAGGCTATAAAAAAAGAATCAGATAAAGTTTCCAATCACGTTAGCCATGTCATCAGCTTACCGGTGTGTGCTTGTCACAGTACGCCTTCATCTGATAAGATTCATTGTGAGAATCGGGAAACTTCATTCTCATGCAAAGTTTTGCCTTTCGTGCACAGGTGACATGAAAGGCCGTGCAACAGTGGGCATTTTGACACTGAATACATGCACCCATTCTTTTCTCACAGATGTAACATTTCTACAGCGGACAGAGGTTCGTTAAATGAGAGAGAGGCGTCAACACCAAAAAAAAATAAGCCTCCACCTTACCAATTTCCATCTACCCCGCGGAATTCCCTCGATATTATCGATTGGTTCCATATAGACGGTGTTTGACAATCCGACCTCGGGAATCCACAAAGCACACAGTAAGTGGGCCCAGCGATTCGTATTTGTCTTTTTAAATGCCCCGCCTTCATTGGGACAAAATATGCATGACTAAAAAAGATGGTTAGATTATAGAGTTTTTAGATTTATGATCATAAAGTAATCATGATTATAAACAGAAGGACGCTGACCACCGGGGTTTCGGGAGAGACTATGCATTTACGGCACAGCCATTGACCTTCGGGAATGTAAGGTATTCCGTAGCAATCTGATTGTTTATAACATGAAATAATGAATCATGTAAACTTGAAGGTCACGGAAAACGATCAACACCACACCACCTCACCTTGGTGAACAGCAAGGTTGCAACCATCGCAAAATACGATGGCATTACTGTTTTCACACTCCCCGTCATCGCAAATTGCACAGGCAGAATCCTCGGGGGTAAGACTGTCTTTGTCTCCCTGACCCTTTGGTAGATTTTTTGTCTGAATGTAATGTTGTAGAATAGGTGAATGAACATGTTCTCGCCCTATGACCAATAACCACGTCTTACCAAGTCGAACCACGCTTTCTCTAAGCGATCAATCAATTTTTCAAAGAGGTCGGCCGTGAGCTCACCCAGATCCTCCTTTTTTCTTTCATTATTGAAAGCCTTGAGCCAGATGTCGTCTGTTTTAACAAAGTACAAAAGTTGGTGGATCGACGAACTATAGTTTCGATTTTGCGATCAACCAGTTGATTAATTACCTTGCTCGTCCATATCGTACTCGACTCGCTCCGCAAGAATTCTTTCATCCGGCTCTGTTATTGAAAAAGTTAGTTAGACTAGATCGCAATTTTAACCGCAAGTAAATTTAGATTAGTTGACGATTATTTAAATGACGTTCACCATTATACCGAATATAATGTCCCTCGGGTCTGTGATATGGTTCGAACTCCATCTTTCGGACGCTGACACGTCTAAACGAAGGCATGGGAAGTTTTTTTACTAAAGTCTTTGCCACCAAATTTTCTTCAGTTTTCGTCGGTCCCGAAGTACTGGCGGGTTGCACGGAACTCGCGGAACTCTCAGCAATAAGGTGACCATCATCCTGATCTACCTCGACCTTAGTCGGAATTATAAGATTGTCATCGTACACCACCTCTATTTGACCTGAGGCAACAAGCTCAACATCCGAGGCTTGATCATCCTCTTGAACTGTGTCTTCATCCATAAATTGAGGAGTGGTTCCGGAGGTCGAACATTCATTTATGGCTACCTGGGTGTCCTCAGTTTGCTGCTCGGACTGTTGAACCGTCTGAAGGTTCAGAAATAATAAAGGTTTATTTTTTTTTTAGAAAAAAAAAAGTTTGAACTTTGACTCGCTTCGTGTCGAGAAAATGGTGGCTCTAATTGATTTGAGAGTCACCTTTTGTGAAGTGGACGATTTCGGAGTTTTATCGTCAGCATCATTCTCCGATAGTACGTGAAAGATCACAAGTTGTTCGTCCAGATCCAAGTCGGGAAAGAATTTCGTGTACGGAAGCTCTTCTCGTGGCGGCGGTTCTGGCTGGTATTGTACTACGGGTTCCGATTCCTTTATTTCCCGAGCAAGGTCTTTGCTTTTGTTTTTGTTGCGTCCTTTGTTAGTCTTGTTGGTCGACTTGATACCCTTGTTTTTTTTGGTACGCTTGTTGAGACCCCGCAGCCCATTATTTCGAGAAGCTTTGAGGTTACGGGCCTTGCTCTTGTTTCGTGGAGAATCTGCTGGTTCGGGAGAGTTCTCCCGAGTGACGTTAACGTCGTTGGATAATTCCATTTCTAAATGAAAAGGGTGTGAATTCCTGCGGTCCGCTTCTTTCTTTTTTTTTGTTTTTTTCCTCTTTTTTTTTTTTTTTTTTTTTGTCTAGCAATAAACTTGCGTACCTTTTTTTTCGGTCGTCAAAGGACTTAACGAAGAAATCGAGGAAGCGAAGCAAAAAAGTTAGTGATTTCTGATCGTTAAGTTTTCATCGATTTAATTTTCAAGGAAGTCAGTGTACATACTTTTTGTTGTTAAACTTTGTCGTAACGTGTGGTCGAAGTCACTTGATTGGATGGATGTAGATAAGGACAGCGAAGAGATTGACTTCAATTACGACGTTTTTTTATTTTTGAACTACTGTATCTCATGAGAAGTGCGCAGTCGGAAAAAAAAAGAATAGTTAACAAGGTGTAACACGAAGACCACGTGTTGGGTGTGTTGATCATGTGATTTTAAATTCCTGCTTATTGGGCGATAATTATTAACATTACGATTGGTCATTCAGATCATGAGTGAAAAAAATTCGCACGCAAAAACAGTTTGCATGACGCAAAGCGATTCGTTCTCCTCCTTTTTCTAACCAAAAAAAAAAGATGGGAATTGAATCAAGATTTTTTTTTTATTTTCTCGAGATAAATTTCGTTCGATGATTACATGATAAAAATTTTGCAATAATACAAAGTATGCTCAATTCCTTAATCTAGTATATATATGTCGCATATATGTGCGTGTACGTGTATGCATATGTTAATTGAGAATGTCCGATCTTCTAATTGAAGATACAACAACAAGTGAGGTTTATTAAACTTTTCTCAACCATTGTTTTCTAAACAATGGATGATGTTGTACCTTTTTGGAGTCTTTCTTTTTCTGTGCTGGCCTGCCATTACTACTACCACCACTTCCTTCATAATACGCCATATCGTCTGCACCCGATAAACTTTTCATGTTACCAAAGGAACGTCGAACGACACCCTTGTTTCGACTAGTCACCGTGCCGGGCAAATCGTCGGCATTCTCGTCGATATCATTGTCCAGTTCGGCGGCGTTATCGTTGGCGACCAAAACGTCAGTCAATAAAGCCATTTGCTTGTTGTGTTCCCGGTAAACCAAATTAGGCTCCTTGTCCATGCCTTCTAGCGAAGTGATGACCTTGAAGGCGTAACCCTGATCGATCAGAAATTGCTGTCGCTTCGTCGAATAGTACATCTCTTGCGTATCAGTGGAAACAAGAGAATAAAAGAAAGCATTGAAACCCTCGTCGTTACGACGCTTGGCTCGAAGAATACGTCCTGTAATATCATTACATAATTGAGATGTCAACAATCGAACTTAAAGAAACATCGAACATTCAATGTAGCAGACTCATCTCACCAAGTCGTTGGGCCTCTTGACGCCTCGAACCGTAATGCGATGAAATCTGAATCAGACAAGTTGCCTCCGGTAAATCGATGGACGTATCACCAACCTAAATAAAGTGATGAATGAGAATGTTAGGTCGCAAAGTACAGAGTGTGCGCACTAAAGATAATGCCTACCTTGGAAAGGAAGATCGTGTTTGTATCGGGACTGTGCTGAAACATCGATAGAACATGCAATCTCTCTTGGGGTTTCGTTTTTCCGTGGATGAATGGCACGTTAAAGTCCTTGGCGTACCGCTAAAAAAGGTAGCAAACGACGAACAGGATTTAGGAATGTGATTTTGATCGACCGGATTGAATCCGAAGGTGGAATCGAAAAGTGTCGTTTACCTCCAAGGCATACACGTTATCCGAAAACACGATGACTTTGTCCCCGCGATTTTCGTGGTATCTGATGAGGTACTGGCATGCCTGAATTTTATTCGGATTCATCGCGTACAATAACGTACGCCGTCGAGACGAGGCCTTGAGGTATTCCGCATAGAATTCTGGGGTCATGGGGCACCATACCTCGGCACATTGGACGTTTGCGATATGTCCTTTCGAAGCCAAGTCCATCCAATTGGCCTCATATAGTTTTGGACCAATCAAGAAATTCAAGTCCTCAATCTTGTCGTCCTCACGAACCAAGGTGGCGGTCAAACCGAGTTTCGTGTGAGCGGCTATCGTGGTTACCACTTTTCGAAACATGTTTGCGGGGACGACGTGAACCTCGTCCAACAGGATGAAACCCCATTCTCGTTCCGTAATGAATTGCATCATCTTCGATGCCTCGTAAGACCTGGCTCGAGTATTGGCGACCATGCTGTAGGTGGAAATCACGATGCCGGACTGACCGGAAAACTGGTGCGACATCAACGAAATGAAAAGTTTAGGCTTTTTGATCACGTAAATGAGGCGCTGAAAATGGTGAATTCACCCCCCTACCTTCTCTTTCTGATCCGAGGTGAAAACGGCAATTTGACTTTCCTTTATATTGGACCACTGCACAAACTGTTGTTTCCATTGCATCACCGATACACTAGTTTAACAAATAAGTTAAAAACGATGTATGTCACACTTCAGGAAGATGAATACACCACAACAACAAAGGGAGAGAACACTGACGCCGATGTACAAAGAACAAGACAACTTTTTTTGATCGTGCAAGCAGCCGTTATACCGACAAGCGTCTTACCGGCACCACAAGGTAACACGATAATGCCCGACCTTGCTCGACTATTAATAATTTCAACGGATGTCAACACGACACGCCCCGAGAAAAATCGAAACCCGGATTGATTACATAATACGCACCCGTTTCCAAACATCTTACTGAGGCACTTTTCCTGATATGGCCTTATGACGGTTATGGGCTTCAGGTCAATGTCGAGGGGGGCCAAACTTGCGTCATTCCGGAAATCGTATTCCTCCAACATGGGATAGTTCAGTTCGTTGCAGCGTCTCCTGACAGTCTAACCAATGGTGACAGGCGATATTAATTTCGTGGCATCCAAAGAGTGCCATCTTCAACTCTCAAACATACCTCGAATTTCTGGGGCATGATTTCAAAAGAGTGAACTTCATCCTCCTCATCCTCCTCATCCTCTTTGGTCAACGATTATCATCATCATCATTATTATTAATGTTGTTGTTAGAAATAGAGTCAGCTATGATCGGAATCACGATCCAGGCATGCAAAAACAGAAGACCCTCGTTACCTTTGTCAATGGCGACCACGGCATTGAAAAGTTCATCATCCCGATTAGCAGCCTCATTGTTCTTGGCTTCAGATGATTTCGGAACTTCTGCAACTTTACCGGAAATTACCAAATCCTTGCCGGATGGTGCCTTGCTCGTTATGAACTCGTTACCATTCGTTCCATCCGCGTTAATCAGCCGAGCGTCGGCGATATCTTTGTCCTGCAAGAGCATCTGCAATATTTCCGCATGCGACGATTCCACAAAATATTTATTATGTTTCAACAGGAGTTTCACTTTCCCGTAAGACACAGTGCACTTTCTAATCATCTCTATGAGGGACTCTGGAATCTCCGTCTAACAGAAGTTAACAACAATTTTATTATGATCGCCTCAGAAAAGATCGGTAAAAGAAAAGGAGGAACAATGATCGTATTAAGTGAATTGCAACATAGAACCAGTGCTCACCTTTGACAAAATTTTCAGGACATCTATTATCGCTTCGGTCTCCAAGCCCACTGAAACCGCCGCGTACAAAGAATACGGTGTCATCTTGTACTCGTGTATCAAACTTGGCCTATTGCGAAGAACCAGGAATCATTAATAAACCGCACCTCCCTCCCACGGTAAAACGCCGAAACGCAGGTTCGCAAAACCCACCTACTAACGGGCTCGCTAATGGTAATCAAGAAATCCTGTGCCTTCTCCGCAAAAGGAGAGAACCCCTCAAGAATTATATTTCCCGTGACTGGGTTTATCCACAAAGGTCTGTTTCCGTGATCTTTCTTCAGACTCACAAAGGAATAATCATTTTTTCCAAACAAGTCTGACACGGAATCCCGCTTGTGGTGTTGAAAAGTGGGGAACTTTGCGAGCTCTTTATCCAGAGCGATGGTCGCGATCTTTGGAATAACTAGAATGAAATCATTTTTCGAATTTCACAAGGACCCGTGAGAATTCTTCCGGCGAGGCGGGGAAAATTAATTTTCAAGGAAGCAATTAAAAAACATACTCGGTCCATCTTTTAAAACCTCCACTTTATCTGACTCCTCGCTAACACTGGGGGTGTATGCATTATCAGAACTCTTGGGCAGTTTCCTAATTTTTTTTACGTTCTTTGAAGGTCCAGGAGAGGGGGTGTATTCATCATCTAATGTATTAAACCAGTTATTTGTGTAATGCATAATGAATTTCCCAGATCGAAGTCAATAAAATGATCAAGTTCAAAAAAAAAAAAATAAATAAAACAAAAGAGAACTCTGCAACGAAAATAATAGTAGTAAACAAAAAACTCTAATTTGTAAGATCACTTTGATTTGGTCAATATTTTTTATTATTATATTATTATTAATGTCATTGTACAGAGAAAGAAGATTGACAAGTTAAAGCTAGCTAAGGAAAACACACAAGACATACCGTCTTGTAAACGTCGTTTAGAGGGTGTAGGAGGCATTTTTATTGTTCGTTTGCACTTAATGGATGAAAAAGAGACTGCAAGTTCTAAAAAGATGAAATGTTACAAATCTGCTTGTACGCACATAGATATTTATGGTTTTTTTCTGACCAACAATTTAATCACGTCGCACACCTATCACGCAAGTCACATGTTTCATGTACTGCGCACTTATGTATATACGTATGTACTATACGCAGATCTTTTTTTTTTTTTTAATAACTTATTTTTATTATTCACCCTCGAAATCTTACATCATTATTCACACTCGAAATTCTAACATGGAATTCGCAGACGAACAATTGAATTTAATCGACTCGACACATCACATCACACACAATTGCTCATCTGAAAATGGTAAAACTGTTCAGTCGGTGAATGATAATAGTCCTCACATAATCCTATAATTCAGAAAATTGGTACACTATACAGATTTGTTCTTGGTGTTTTTTTTTTTTTTTTGTTATTTTGTTTTCTTTTCTTCTTTTTTTTTTTACACTTTTCCTCTTATCCATTTTTTTTTTTTAAAAAAAAAAAAAAAAAAAAATATCCAATCGAATGTTCACAGCCAATATAGCCAAGTTGCTTTTTAACTTTTCATCACTTTTCCGTTCAACCATCAGAGACTCGATTATCCCATTTATGTCCACCGAGACTCGTTCAATGACCTGCCCAAACTAGACTGCGTTGGCCTCTCGGGAGACATATTTATGAATTCGCTTAACGAAAAAGCCGAATTCGGCGTTGTCATATCAATCGACGAACGGATTTTATGCGGCGGAGTTCTCGGTGGCTCAAGGTCGGTGGTGGTGGTGTTCAATAATTGCCGTGTTGAAGGCGGAATGAGTGGGGTGATCGAAGGCACGCATGTTCTCCTCGGCGGCGTACGCGGGGGTGATGATGCCAACGGTGAAGATGGAAGGTGTGGCAAATGAGAGAGTATTGTGTCGGAAAACGTGGAGTCAACAGCTGCCCAATCGTCCAGCGCGGTTCGAAAGATGGTCCCTGGTGACATTGAAAGTGTTTGGGTTGATTCCGCGATAATATCTTTAGTCGGTTTCTCTTCCTCAAAATTTGCGCTAGAGTGTAAAAGATCGTCGAGAAAAGAATCGGGTGACACCAACGTCGATTCTGGACCTGTGGTTTTCTTATTTTTTGGCTCGACTCCACTTGAAGTGGCCCAAAGTTCGTTAAACAATTGTCCGGGAGATTTTGATGTTATGGCCGTCTTTTGAGGAACCACGGTGCTCGCGGTTGCCCAAAGTTCGTTGAACAATGTATTCGGCGACATCGTGACTTTTTGATTGGACAAACTGCTATTTGCCATTCCAAAGATATCTCCTATGTCCATCTCTTCACCCGTGGATGGCTCATTTCGCCTCGTTCGTTTTGACTTTGCCTTTTTCGTGAACTTCGTTGCCGACTTTCTCTTCTTAGACTTCTTTTTCGGCGTCGTCTCTAGAGCTCTTAATATAGTCTCTGAAATGACGGGAGCCTGGCTCATCACGCAACCGGTCCTACGACTTGGCTCGGGTATCTTGGATGTCGCCGGGATGAACATTGAAATTTGTTGTATCTTATCGGTGTTCGACGATAGGTTCTCGAATGACAATTCTTCGGGAATCGGTCCAAACTTTTCATCCTCATCCATAGCCTTTCGCAATCGACGTATGCGTTTCGGATCAGATAAATGATCGCGGAATTTCTTCGATCGCCTCGTCAAATTTGATCTTAATGATGATGTATCATCAATTTGATTTAAAAATTGTGATGACATAGATTCCGAAAGAGGCTCTACGGCATTATTATTATTATTATTTTTATGAGCGATGCATAAATCACGATCATGCGAAGGTAATTCCAGTGAATCCAAATATTCATAGATAGCTGCGGCTTTCGGACCGGAAAGTCTAAAGGGGGATGGTGACTGGTAAGATGATCGCTGGTGGAAAGGGTCAGCCGAGACGATGTCCAAGGGCGCCACCGTGGGACTTGGCGTCTTCGAATTTGTTCTCAAATTATACATTGATCCACTCCCGGATCCCGCGTGATGTAAATCCAAATCATGAGTCCGAATTGCTCCCCTCAATTTCTGCATCATCTTCGGAATGGGGATCGCATTTATGCGCATCTTTTCCTCGAATAACATCTCGCAGGTTGCCACGTCATATTTCTCCCATCCATTCTTGATTTTGAACGATGCGTATTCCAGACCGAGTCGTATCCGTTTGGCGACCTAGATTGTAGATTTGTGTTAGTCGTTTCCTCGTCAATCGATCCGAAAATCCTTTGAATGAACCCTTGAACAAAAACATCCTTGGAAAAGAACAACGTCAACTGTTGAACCTCCGTCATACCTCAACAATATCAACATACTCGCGCGCGTGGTCAAAGATTGGATCCTTTCGAAGCTGTTCGACAAGTTCTTTCAAGTCTTTGTCCTCATTTACTTCTTTGTCATGCATCTCAGGTACGTTCTATTGTGCGTGTAGAGAAGGTCAACAAAGCATTCAAGGTTTCGAAAGAAAAAAGTTTCGGGAACCCACCTCCACCATGTTGTCAAACAATTTACAATTTTTTGTGTTTACAACTGTTTTGCTTTGAGGGCTGTTTATTCTTATAATTACTTGAACGCGTTTTACTTTTAAGGAGGTTTAGCGGTGGAAGAAAAGGCTTCAAGGAAGTTAACCTTTGGCAAAAGTTTTTGGATACTATTTAAGAAAAAAAAATTTTTTTTTTTTTTTTTTAGTGGAGGATAAGAAAAGATGGATCGTCAACGACTACTATTCGCGTCTCCTCGATAACAGTAAATAATATTTATATATATATATAAATTCTACATATGGGAGTATCGTACATATGCGATCGTATCGTAGGACGAAACTTGTGACAAACGTGGATTCCACGATAACATTTCGGTGGTGTAACTGAAAATT